GAAAGAGACCTTCGTATGATGGAAGAGAATAGACACAAATAATTATGGAAAATATGCTGAACTACTGGAGTCTTCTAAGAAGCAATAAAGATACTCCAGCATACGTGGATCCAAATTTTACAGAGAATACTATGGGTTTGACATGATCTAGGACTAGTAAACGGCAATCAAAAATAAACTCAACCATTTGGTAAGAATGTGAAACAACACCTATACACCAAGAAGAAATTTTCCTTCCAAAAACCTTCAAAGCAAAACTATTTAGAAACAAGTTGTTTTCTGAGCAGCAGAACCACTGAAAACTCATTTTTACAATTGTGTTTTGAGGATGAGTTTCTGTATGGATTTGCTGGTATCTAATATAGTGAATCCACACTGCAGCCTCCCTGTCATGGGACTCTGCATACATGCAATTTTCACTAGATAGCTGCCTATCTTTCATAAAATTTCAACGAAAAGAATGTCTTTCTGTTTTCTTCTTATATGTCAATTTAGCAGAAATTAGACAATGGGCTCCAACATTGTCGGAGGCGTGGAACAGTCAGACAGAGACAGACAGTGTAATTAGACAAATCTTGCGTCCTCAGGAAACCCAGCTAAAGTTAAATGCATGTGACACAGAAAAGCTGCCTCTCTAAAACAGTGGTCCAAACAACAAGAAGAGACAGCCACAGAATCTCTCAACGGACAACTCAGTCATTAATTGCAATCTTATCAATTCAATTATAGTCCAAACTTGGACAAAAATACCAAACAGTAATGAAATTGTTAACATAAAAAAAAAACCCAAATAAACAGAAAAAGAACAATTTTTCTGTGGACTTTCAACAAGCACACAGTAAAGAGAAAAATGAAGAGAACAAAAGTCAAGCTGAACATCGTTGAACAAGCCGAACAACAATGTCTGAGAACGCTAACACTAAAGAATGCTTTCTTCAGCAGAAAGGCAATTGTAGAAAGTGAAAATTGTGGCAGGCAAAGTAAAGATGTCTTTCAGGATCTCTGAAAATGCAGAGTTTGATTTCCCATGGAGAATAAGACATTGTAAGTAGGTATAAGCTTTCACAGATAAGTAGGCATCTGTTCCCAGGCTTGTAACAGCAATGGTTGTACGTAACAGTTATGGAACAAGGAGTATGAAAATTACTATGGACATCTTTATTTCTCATTTACAAATTCTGGCAAGAGAATGTTCCTCCAAATACTCCTCAGAGAGGAAGATTCTGTCTTTCAGAAAGGAGCCCATTCAATTTGGGTTAACTGCATCACTTGGTGGTTGCTAACCTAATTGTTATTCTCTCTCTTTCTTAAGAAACATCTGCAAAGTAAACTGGTGAAGCCTCAAGCTCATCAACTGAGGCTGTGAAACACTGCTTCCTAACAGGCTTATTTTTTCATGAAAACAACAGGGAAAGTACTAAAAGAAAAAGAATTCTTATGTTACACAAACAGAAACTGATCTTACATGGCACAATAACTAACATTTTGCATATTAACAGCTCCCAGTTACACAACAGACAATACAGAGAGAGGTTAAGAGAGATGTATATAAAAGAATCGCATGATAGTTCAGTGTGATACACGGGTTTGAAAGAACACTGTCAAAGCCTTCCAAGGAAAAAACTCTTCCTGAAAATTAGCTATTTGACTACCAGTAATAGAGGGACAGTTGTAAGAGATCTAGCATACATTATGTGGTAAGTGTTTTCTCCCTGGTAATTGTATAGATTTTCTCATGAAGGGTTTAAAATGCATTTAGCACCAAGCCAAGAATCATATGGGTAACTAAGTCAGAAAAAGGTTTTCCACTTATGTTATTTCACACATTACTTTTCAATAGCAATCAAAAAATAATTGAGACCAAGAATCGTCTTATATAGCATATAGATTCATTGCAGAAGCTGGAACTTGCATTCTTCAGGATGGGTGGAAAATTTCTGAAATAAGTGCGCTTTTTTTTCCGGTGTGTTTTTTTTTTTTTTAACTACTTTACCAGTAATAGTTGCAGCTTCAGCAGACAATGGTTGCTGATTGAGACTACTTGTTTCCGAATCTATGTGGAGTGTAGTTAGACTGGCCACTTCTTGCTCCTCGGCACTCTGTTGCTGTCCTGAAATGGCATCAACGTCAGTGGAAGCTGGTGTCCCTGCCTCAGTGCCAAAGCTGAAATCTGTATGAGGAAAGCACTGTATTAACTTACAACCTAAGAATACCATTAATATTTAAAAAAAAAAAAGCCCAGGACCTCCAAAATCCTCCATGGAAAATCCGTATGTGCATCTCCTATGTTACTAACACACTGTTACAAAATTTACATAAAATGTAACAGCAGAAAGTAATTTATTATTATGAATATTCTCATTTCTGTCACAAAACTGCGACTGTACTTCTGGAGAAGACATTCCTATTGACATGTCCTTTTTTCTGCTTAGTTGCTGTAAGCGCACCTACATGAGAATTAACTAAAAATAATGGAAACATATGTTAAGGGATTTACTTGCAAAATTTACAAGCTGGAAGAAATATCTCAGTTGGTTGTTCAAGCACTAACTTCAAACTAAAAATATTACAGCAAATTATATTCTAACAAATGGCTTTTTCAACACTAAAGGCAAAATGTCATGCTGAAAAGTATGTTTAAATACCATAACTTAGTTGCATAACATCTACATATCAAAAAAATGTAATTACTTCAACAATTTCTACCATATAAACATTATTTCTCTCTTAAATAATACATTAAATCATAATGCCTAGCAACCATAATAAGCCCTTCTGTTGAACAAGAGTGGGAATGGATCAATTAAATGAAGGAAAAACATTATTTTATTACACAAAGCATACTAATTTTAACAAAGCATACTAAGTTTACCACGATATTGCACTTAGTATCTTGATGAATCTATACCTACATGAAGACCCCTGTAAAAATATCAGAAGCCCTTCTTTAAGTATTACCTACATGTTTCCAAAAGAATTCAAATAAATTCCAAAATAAGTAACCCCTCATTTTTGTATTTTGTGTAAAACAGATGGATACGCTCCAGGGAGAAGACAATATTGCCTTCTAACTTCTGTTCACTGTTGTTCTACATTTTGCACAATAGTATTCCAGTACTGTTTTGTTTAGTATACTATAAACACAACAGCCTCTCTCAAGAACTCTGCTTGCTCCATTAACTTGCTAATGATTTTAATGGGTAATCAAAATAAACTCTCTTTACAGAAAACTGCTGGCATAGAACTTTATCAGAACAAAAAAAGAAAAAAATGAAAAGGGAAATTCATGAGCAGTCAATCAAAAACGCTATTACTTTTGGAAAAATATACTTGCTTTCAAATTTGCGTCCATCATACTGGAAGGCGCTGAAAGAGTCAGAGTGGCTATCTGAACTGATGAGGTCACTACTGCCCGCGCTGGCAGGTGATGTCCATTCGGAAGGCACACCTGGGTCATCTATAGGACGCATTTGATTCTGTTTGTTCAATATATCAGGAAGGTCTTTAGGAACTTCCAGGCTGCCAGGACTGCTTCCTCTTCTTGTCACATTCTAAACATTGAAGAGACATAAATTATCCTACAATATTGGATGGCTTATTTACATAAAACGGAAAAGCAATCCCACATTTGCAGATGTCAGAATATACCAAGTACTTCACAGGTACCTAAACCAGAAATTGTCATTATACTTAATATATAGCCAAGACTTTCCAAAACCCCAGACAGGCAGCAGTAAGTGAAGAACGCATGCAGTCACAGAGCTTCACAAATACAAATTTTATTTGCACAATGAATTTTTGGGCACATACCTTAAAAGGCTAGGATTCAGACTAGCATGTGCCACATGTGTTAGGCAAGACTTGAGAGACAAAAACAGTAAAGAAGCTGAGAGAGTTGCGGTTGTTCAGCCTGGAGAAGAGAAGGCCCCGGAGAGACCTTACAGTGGCCTTCCAGTACCTTAAGAGGGCCTACAGGAGAGCTGGAGAGGGACTTTTTACAAGGGCATGTAGTGATAGGACAAGGGAGAATGGCTTCAAACTGGAAGAAGGTAGATTCAGATTAGATATGAGGAAGAGGGTGGTGAGACACTGGAACAGGTTGCCCAGAGAAGGTGTGGAAGCACCACCTCTGGAGGTGTTTAAGGCCAGGTTGGATGGGGCTTTGAGCAACCTGGTCTAGTGGGAAGTGTTCCTGCCTATATCAGGGGGGTTAGAACCAGATGATCTTCAAGGTCCCTTCCAAACTAAACCATTCTATGATTCTGTATTATCTACAGATTATGTCTAAATTACTAAAGAAAACTTGCTAACTTTGGTTCCAGACACAAGCAGAAAAAACACGTCAAGGAATTCTGTGTTTTCTGGCCTACAGGCTGCCATGCTATAAGCAAAAATTTAATGTACACCACAAGCAAACTCATTTACTAGTTCATGCATACATTTTCGTATGATTAAGCCAAGACCTTGGTATTGACTTGGACACCAAAGACAGCGTATAGCAGAAATAAGGCATATAGCAGAAATAAGGCATATAGGTTTGCTCATGTAAAAGTATGGTGGTGTTCTACTTGCAGTCTTCCTTTAAGCCATTTTTTTCAAAGATAGGACTGTTTGCTTGGGAGGGAAGAGAGATAAAAGTAGAAGAGCCATTCTAGGATACAGCTTGAAATCTTTATGTATTAAGAGATTGAAGATTACTTCCTTTTACACTAGGCCCAGTCACTTCCCTGTTCTTTTACTACTCTACTACTAATTAGAGATTTACTCAGACTGACAAGCTTTTAATGATACATGGTTTTAGCACTGAATAGATATAACCTAAAACTAATATTAATAAGTTAGTACTATGTTTTAAGAAGGCATATCTTGTTTTGTGTGCTAAATTACAAAATCAGTGGCAGTTTCAAACTATTTACTCAAACTTATCTAGGCTGGTTTTTTGCTACCTAAGGAAAGTACCAATGCTCTTGTCTGAACTATTAATCATCAATATTCTTGCCCATCTATGTGAAAACAAATAGTGTTCCCTTTCTTTCTCTCTTCTTCTGTGGCCAGCTGTGATGATTTCTGTTTTATGAATTTGCAGACTAAGTTCACTTTTTTTTTAATAGACTTCAACTTAGCATTTTTGTCTTGTAACTCAAGATTTACTAACAAGAACACTTTGCAGCAACAATCAAGTTTCATAAACATGATTTCAATACAAAAGAGAAAAAAACATACATTTGGAAAAACTCCATAGGTTGTCTCTTGCCATTTATAAATGATGATAAATAAACAATTTTTTCCAATCACTTCAAAGAATCTCCTTCTGCCCCTTATTAGTGACAACTAAACTACTTGTTGACAACTTTCTACAGGAGCACGTCTTAAAATTACTGTAAAAAAATCTTTAAAAATTCTAAACGGAGAAAAGAATGGAAATCTTTGAAATGTTACATTTAAATTGTTACCCAGTCTGTTCTTCATTTGCAACATTTTTTTTAAATATTTCCCCTTTTGTTGCTCATTAATAAAACACTTATCTCTTCAAATCAGTTGTCTCATTCTGTAAGCATTCGACAGTAATCAGAAATATTAGACTTAAAATTGATTAAAATTTCTCATTATGAATCACATTCCAAACAATACGACATTTCTGGAAAAGTGTAGGAAGCAAGCATACAAAAAGTTCGTTCAATTAGCAGAGAACTATTTACAAGAAATTATTCAACACTTGTAAGTGAAATTAAAACAATTAAAGAAAAACATACACTAGCGTAGTTTCGTTGTCTGTTGCATTGACTATAACTGTAGAGAATGGTACCATACTACAGCATGAGTACCTAGCTACGCACCACACTAAGGACTGCAAATTTACATATAAACTATTATTCTGAAAGTGTCTGCATACAAAGATCTTTACAGATGCAATTAAGGCCATTTAATTCACTGAGACTATTCATCTGATGGTAACTTCTGCATGGCTTCCACAATGAAGATTCAATACATATGAAAACACAAATGGCATAAAATGGCACAAATCTACGTCAAAGGCAAGGAATAATTGATATTCTTAACTCTTTCTGATTCATAATGTCCAGAGAAATGTGTTTTAGTGAACTGATTTATAATGTCATTGATGAGTTCACGCATATATGAAAACTTACATATTGAAATGTAAGAAGTTTAAAGGCTTACCAGTGCACTACCACTGCGGAGTCTCTCAGCTATAAATTCATCCATGAGGTCAGGAACATTTGTATTGCTACTGCCAATATCACTATCAATAGGGTGCAGCTTTTGACTCATGTCCTCTCTATTAGCTAAAAGCAAATGAACAACTGAATATAGTAAAGAACACATCAAAACATTTTCAAATCAAAAGGTAAAAAATGAAAAAAACCCTGCTAATTAACAGAAATAATAATAAAAAAATAATCAAAATTGCCAAACATGCATTTTAAGAATTTCCCTCTTTTAAAGCAGATTCTACTTTAAGAATTAGTATGGCTTCTTCTTCCCACTAAGCAGGGGTTAGTCGATTTCCAGTACCACCTTTAAGAGCAAGAAGCTTATAGGTAAGCACTACTCAAAGTTGTTAATGCTTGCTTTAAGGATACAGCATATATTCTTCCTCCGTATCACAAAAAATAAGTAATAAATCCCAAAAATTTTATATGATTCCCACAGGCTCCTTTTTCATTGCATTCCCAATGAAGAGCAATGTAGTGGAAAAAATAAACTTGATTGTAGTACGTACTAATGACAAATGTCAATATGGCACTGTATACAGTTAGTATAAATAGTGCAAAGAAAAATCTTCTGTAATAAAATTAAATGCTAGTACATGGAATGACAATTCAAACTCTGGATGGTCAATGGTTATGAACAATTAATTAAGTTCACTCATTTATCAGTGTTATATTTTTGATATAACTATACTGTTCGTATTTTACTGTGGCTGTTACACTTGACTTCATGTTCGTCGCCTATATAGTCTTCACGTTATTCCAGTTCATGTTTTCTCTATAAGAATTTTTCCCTCAGTGTCATCTCTCATGAGACCACAGTGCAGATTATTCTAATATTGAGGCTCTGTTAAATGTTACAGATTTCAAATAAAAGGTACTTCTAAAATTAGTGTTTTCTAGATCTCTCTTTTTCAGAAGTCTAGATTCTGCAGAGAAGCAAATCGCTTTTTGGAGACCCATGACAGTCACACTCTTGCGGTGCTATGCTTACAAAGACTGCCCTCAGGTGGCATTAACATCTCGATGCAGGGTGCATTACGGAATCCTCTGTTAATCATGCCAGCATAACAATGGGAAAGAAGAAAACCTACATTACTGCTGAAAGTTAATTTATTGTTCATTTAAGGTTACTTAAGATGTGAACTAAGACAATGGGTATTAGAGCGACAGCCTTCTTTATCGATCAGTCCACAGAGGTCTCATAGCTAGCAGGATAGGGACTATCATGAGACCTTCATGAACATCCACGATTCCAAGAAAAAATAAAAGCAATGAAAGATGTTGCCAAGATGTAACTGCAACCGTTTTGATGAATGAATACAGAGAGGCCTACAGCAAGTTTTGAAACATTCCAACAAAAACTTACGATTAGACACAGAGAACTGTTGTAATGAAATCATCCCAATAATAGGAGATTTCTGTTTAAGACTATTTTTCAAAAGTTATCTAAACTAACCTCCAAATGTGAATTTGAGGGCCTTTTTTGTTTTGGAGGAGGAAAAGGAGGAAGAGGAGGAGGAGGAAGAAGAAAACACACTAAATGAACCAGAAATACAATTAGTTCAACCTAGCTGGTTGAGAGCCAGGTCCTTCTGACAAACTACACTCAGAGTGGAATAGCACATTCTGATAAAACAGGCATTCGCCAATCATTCAGTAGGCTGAATTTTAAGGCTCTGCATGGTAGGCGAAAATTCAAAACTCTCAAGGCTTAATCCTTTGTTAGGTCATTTACTGTCTCTTCCTCTTCCCTAACCCAATGGTCTTCAGCAGCAAAGAGGTTCAACTAAATATCTTGAAAAGGGAAATTAGTAATTTAAAGTATGTAAAAGTAACTTATGCTGGGAGAAAAATCAGCTGGCTGTAGGCGCATGCATAACCAAACAGGGAAAGCAGTGATCATCCCAAAGCCTTTTGATTGCTTATCAGAGCTTGCTTCAGTCGCATTAAGCCAAACTGGTGCTGCCTTTCTCCTTTTGCGCTCTGCACACTGTTAGTGCTCACCTGCAGCTTTCCTTCCAAAATAGCCCATTACATGACTGTACAGATCCCTCAGTGGAGCCTCTGCTGGCATTCTGTTCTGCCTCTGTGGGGAAACATTTGCCTTCGGCTTCGAAAGAGCATGTACAACAGTTTTATAAACACCACCCAGGGAGCCCTGCTGTTGCGCTGACTCTTGACCTGATGCTCTAAAGGCACTACGATTATGGAACTGATTCACTGCAATACTTTCTTTTTGCAACACGGCTGCTTGAGTTTCTGCAGATTCCTTAATTTGCTTGCTGCCTGCTGAAGCAGCGCTGATAGCATCTAGAGGTCTATATATTCCAGGTCTAACCAGCTCCGTGGCAGCTGATGAGCTGGTGCTCGCACTGGTACTGCTGTTGCTGCTGCTGCTACTGCTACTGCTGCTACTGAAGCCACTGAGCTTACGAAGTCTTGCTTTCCAAGCGGCCTCTTTGCTCTCAAGCGGATTGTAAAATTGAACCGATTCTGTGGATGGCCTAAAAGTAACATGAACGCTATTTCTTTTTTTAGTCGTTATTTTCATGATTTTGGCCCTATGAGTTACAGTTTCAGATATACTCCTTTTAGTTGGTGACAGTTTGCTTGTGCCTGTGCTGTGAGGCATTTGAGGGTTAACTTGTGCTTTAGGAAGAATTTTCTTTGCATGCATAACACGTGAGTTGGTTACTTTTTCATTAAACTGGGCACTTTTATGCCTTTCTGCTACTGCTGCTTCCACAGCTAAATCTACATCAGCTTCAGTGGCTGCTTGCCTGTACAGGTATCTCTTCCCTTCTTTGCTGCTAGGACTACTTGACCCATGATCGAATACGCTTTCATTGTGTTTATCAATATTTAACTGTCTGGCTTTATCGAGTGCTTGATTTCTTGTAAAAATGTCTACTTGAGTAGGTGCAATATTACTTATAAAGCCACTTTGGTTTTGTTCTAGGTGCAGCTCTGTGTTATCAGCTCTTTCTGTAACAGTGATGCTATTCGTGCATTGATCGGTTAGATGTCTATTTTCTAATCCATCCAGTGGTAATCTATCATTCCTATTTACTGATGTATCAACTTCGTGAGCAGAAGCCTCACATTTATCTATCTCAAAGTTACCGCAAAGTTCTTCTTTTTCTTTAAGGTATTCTCTCAGAGAGGAAAGGAGATCATCTTCACCTTCAAGGTCAACATATTGGCTTTGTTCAAAGGCTGTGTTTGCAAATTCTACCGGCCCTATTAAATGACAAAGATGGTCATAAATACTATCCCCAACTTCCAAGGAGGACTCTCTGCTATTTGTATCAGTGATATGGCTTTCAGTGGATCTATGCATTGAAGAGGTCTCAGTGGAACTCTGTAAGCTTGGAGCATGATGGGATGAACTGTCAATGACAGGAACTGCACCTTTGGCTCGTTCAACTGCGAACGGTTCCAGGATGTCAGAGGTGCTGCTGCTTCGTGGCAGTGGCTGTTCCTCGTTTAATGCACCAAAAACTTCACTTGGAGCATCCTCACTCTGTGAAAAGTGTCTGACTCGAGGTGGGCGTGGAAGAATTTGAGCATCGTCAATGTCTGTAGGAAAAAAGTATATGTAACGTGCACTAAAATTTACATACAGAGACAGTATTTATTTACCACTACATCATAATTACATGACTTTAAAAGCTAGGAAAATCCAGAGCCTTGTTTTCTTAAGTATAACAAAAATATTTTTTCCAGTACTAGAGTGTTAAAAACACACGCACATAATATCCAGTACAGAATGTAATATAAATGAGTTAGACCATCAGAACACAGTTTTAAATGTTAACATGCATGAGAACAAACAGTGAGACCATGGAACGTTTGGAAATACAGTTAAAGCTAGGGCTGTGCCAATAAGTTCAATAATTCAACCAATATTATTCCAGCTAGCTTGTTCACGAAATGGTTACCTGGAATACAAATTAGCTTAACAGTAGTACCCTTCATGAAATTTACATCTTCAGAAAAATGCACAACTCCAAACACAATACGCAAGTTTGCTGGGAAGTTAGAAACGTCTATCGAAGCGTCAAACTATTACTTTTTTCATAACTTGCGTGAATATATATAAATTACTGAAATATCGGAAAGAATATTGTTATACAATTATGAATATTATGGCATATGTAATATAGTGTATACCTGAAGCTTTAAATGAGAGGGAAGAGCTAGCCCTATACGGAAAAGATGACTATAAATAACAGGTAATTTAAAGATACACCCCTTTTCCCTAGAAGGATGTTTTGTCTCTCATCTTCGAAATGCAAAACTAAATACTAAATGCAGGCTTACCTCCCCCTCTTCTTCGAGTTTTACTCAAGCAAATGGGACATTTATGAGAATTACCAAATTAAGGACTGCTACTGAAAAACATCCTGCAGCCTCACAACAGTTAACATTCAAGTAAAACCACTTCTGTTAATGAAAAGACCAGAACATTTGTTACGATCATTTAAATCAGTGATTCCTTGTCTCTGTTGAGACTGCTAACATGTTAGCATCAGTACAAATCACAGTTAAATGTAATGAAAGCTGCAGTTCCAACATGGATCACCTTGGAATTGTATAGAAATATGTTCAGCCCACCTCACATCATCCACCAAGGCAAAGAACCTTCACGCTCCTCTTCAGATTCCCTGATACTTTATAGGAACACTACATACTATCAAATCACCAGTACAGGCAAGACTAAGTATCTCCTAAAGCCAATTCAACTAATTGCAAGAATTTGAGCTACCCCTTGCAGTCTTTTTATGGCATAGGCACTTGAACAGTAAGGTAAAAACAGCTTTCTCAATTTTCTGTTAGTTTCTTTTTGACATAATCCCTTATTCCCCAGATTTATTTTTTACTACCTACCACTTGAAAAGTTGTAGATGTGCTTTTAAAGTCAGAAATAACAATAAAGAGCCTAAAAGAGCACCAACAGGATTTACTTGCCACAATAAACAGACTTACCTTGTTGTTTTATCTAGAGGATTTATCTTTAGGACTGCAATGGTGAATTTACTTAAAATCAGCACAAAATTTAAGCCTTTTTCCCTCCCTAAGTCTGATGTGTTACTGCCAAAATAAATATTTCAAATTATTACTTCACGGATCAATATACCTATTTCAATAATATTTAATAATGATGATATGAAGACACCTTTAAAACCTGTTTTAAAGTTCTCAAACATTTCCGAGAATGGCAGAGCTGGAGCTGAATTTACTCATCTTTTCCTTCAGAGCAAAGCATATAAACTGGAGGAATGAGATACATCTGTACTTAACTAAATGTTTGCAAGAAGATGAAAAATGGTGTTTCCATGGTCAGTTTTTCAGAAAAGTTAAAATTTGAAAATTGAAGTTTGGCCCAATACAAAGTTCACTGAACTGTAAAGAAGCTGTTAGACAGGAAATAGAGAGGTCTATATTGGGAAAAGAGAGTAGACGTCCAAACTATTTCAGAAAATAAACATGAACTGAAAATCATTGAATATGGCATAATTTATTATCCCTTTCCTCTTTCTTCACCTTTGATAAACAACAAATTTACCACCATTGTTCTTGTTCAACTCTTTACTAACTATATGAATTAACACCTTCTGAAATGAATGGTGTCTCTCTCTAGCTGGAACTGTTACTTCAAACTCTCTATTGACTTAGGCAGAGATTAACAGAGGTTATGCTCATGTAGTCTCAAAGCTACTTCTTACAGCTGCAAAGAAAGGACCACAGAATTCAGTCAAAAATATGTATGATAACGTTATCTATGAGATAATATATGTAACTGATACACCGGTCTCATCTTAAGCCTCCAATATGCATTTTTCATACTTTTTATAAACTCGAGCTTATCTAAAGCAGCAGCCTGAGGATTGCATACTGTGCATGCATGCAGTGATTATGATTTTCTAGGATGTTAAAAATTACTGGATGGACAACTCCAAATGCACGCCAAGCAGCTCCACACATTGAAATAAATTCAGCTAGATTTATTTCAATGTTGATCCAGTATTAATTTACGTATGCATGACTAGCACATACAAGTACACAAATATTTTCAAACAAACGTGCAGTGGTTGTGCCAATAGAGATTTCTTTTTTGTAGAACAGAGGAAGAAATTATGGAAATGAAAAAATACACTGTTATTGCAGTATCAGCACTGAAAATACAGACAATGTTTAAAAACCCAAACTAAAAGCTCCTTCACAACCAGGGCTCACCCTTGCACACAGGTATACAGTCAAACTGGGACACCATCAATTCCTAAGCAGTTTTCACTAACTACATCGCAATAGTGCACTAGGAGGCTGTGTATCTTACACACTGCCCATACTCAGGAGAACCACTGGCGTGGTTCGGAAGAGATAGAAATCGGTAGTTCTAGCCAATCTCACCCAATCACAACTTTCCTTAAATCAACCTTACCTCTCCTTTTCCTGCTAGACGGCAGAAATAAAAGGTATTTTTTCAGCATCAAGTGGGAGATAGATATGCTAAAATACAAACTCACAGAGAGACACATTCTGGCAAGACTGCATGAGTGCAGCTAGAAGATTCCCATATAACATTGGGAAAAGATTGTATTTCATCATGGAAAGCTAGTTCAGAAAGTGGAGAAAGAATAACACATTTTGCTTCTCAACTTTCATTTCAATTCTTGTACAAGAACACACTCATTCTGTGAGTTTCTGGGATTAAAGAATAACTACATACTGACATTACAATTATGATTTCTTAATATTTCATCTTAATGATTACTTACTGATTAGGGAGCAAGGTTGTAAAGGCATAATATACGTCTCCCTTTCATGCTAATACCTCCTTTGATTCTTTTAATCCCAGTGGACAAAGAAAAATCCCCCACCTGAAATTCATTAGTCTGCCATTGTGGCCCATCGCCTTCAGGAATCTTCCCTACATCTCACCGACACTTTTTTTCACAAGCAGTCTTGTACCTGAAAATAAAAAAGGAATGAATCATTATTTTGCTAGTTCTCCTGTAAATGCATAAGACTGGATTTCCTATGATTCTAACAGGTTAAAAGAAAAGTTCTTTTGAAAAATATTGCAGATTCGCAACAATTGCACTACACCAAATCACTTTACTAACTAAACATCAAGTATAAATATCCACTTCCACTTTCTGGATCCTATTTGAAAAGCTGCAAGTATTCTGCATGTGGAAATACAGCATAATTTAGAAACTACATGAAGGAATTACAGTCTTGAGGAAAACCATCCTCTATGACGCTAGAAGACTTTTGCAATAAATTTGTTAATCTACTGACTGATCTTCAAACTGAAACATTATGCCTCAATAAATGACAAATTATAGCAGGGTATTCTGCCTTCCTCTGAAAAATTAATATATTGTACTGTACATGAAGTAAAGGTTCTGGCATAACTGCTTTCTTTTGGATTACCTGTCAAGATTCACCAGTGTTCAGTGAGCCAATCTGTCAATAAGAGTTTTACAGCTAAAAAGAAGCTGAATACTACTTCAGAAAACTTAAGATTAGAGCATCCTATTCTTTTGGAATCATTTGAAAAATCCTGTCCTTCAAGTTGTATGGGATCTGAAAGTCAGTTTGGATAACAGGGATATTCATATACTTGTGAAAGAGGAGGAAGGGCTGTCACAGCTCACTAAACATCATTCATTACCTAAAGCACACTTATGATAGAAACGATTTGATTACTTCTGAAATTACTTGCCGTATTGTCTGGACACAGAAGGCTTTCAGAAAAGAATATATTTACTGTAAGAAGAAAAGGCAAGGAAAAATTATAAAGCTCCATTTTATTTTTTTTTAAAAAAAAAAAAAGAAAGAAGAGAGAGCACGCAATTAAAAATGCAGAAAGTTAAAAAAGCAAAGTGCACTCTGATCTGGCGGATAGTTTTTCCTTTACTCTGCTACTTCCGCATCAACACTCTAACGACTTGCCTTTCTTCACTAGAGCTTTTTAGTTTTCTGGCAATGTTCAAGATTCTCGGGCACATCATGAAGCTGTTTCAACAGCCATCTGCTGAAGAAGACACCAAAACCAAGAAGCGCCCAGGACTTTTTCTATGTTAGAAGTGCTTTATTTCACTTTCAAGAATTACATCGGTTGTGCAGTTTTTGTATTGGATGAGTATCAACAGAAGGATAGCAAGAGAGTTTTGGACACATTAGAAAGATTAGATGCAAGCCAGGACTTTTCAGAAACATGGATGGTAAAACTGACTGCAAAAGTACTTTTGCCTTCTTTAAGACAGGATAATTAAGCATCAGTGACTGAGCATTAGTTGACTGTGAAAGCTCATTCTCTTCTTATCTGTTAAGCTCTTCATTAAAAATTGACTATTTCCAACAATGTTATGGCCTATTTCCTAATCTATTTCCTAATAGGTTGTTCATGTATCATTCCTATAAAAAACCCTACCTTCTAAGTTCTAATAATTTATGTCTCAGAAGAGATATCCTTTGCACTCATACATTTATTAATTTATTACATATAATTTGTATTTTATTATTCTTTGTCTGTGGTGTTGAGATTTGCATTCAAATACTTCATA